AGAATGAAGTTAAAGAGTTATCCTGCATGTACAGGTTGAGCTGGTTTTGATGGGGTTTTTTTAAAAACCTTTTAATGTTAATCTGCTTAAATCTTCACCTGGCCTTTCAATTCAGAGCAAAAATTCAGGCTAAGCTGAAAATACAGCATAGTTACTTTGAGTAAGGAAGGAAAGGAGAAGGAAGAAGCAAATAAATATTTCTGCATGGGCGTGGTCTTGCATTAGCATTACTAGGATTACCTGTTGCCAGATTCTTTAATGTCTGTGACATCTTTAAAATCCAGTTTCATCAGGGATAAAATATAAGTTAATTGTGTTTGTCTTGTTGCAACTAGCCAAACCTTTCTTAACCTTTCTTAACTTCATTAAGATGGTTTAATTTTATTTTCTTTTTTTTTTCCACTAGGAAGGATAGAGAAAAACTTTCTCAGCTGCTTTTCTTAGAAAGTAATTTCAGTTCAGAGCCATGGAAAGATATTAAAAAGATATCCAACAAATGGAGTGGGTGTTTTACAAGCCTGCATGATGTTAAAGTTGTCTGCACTGGTATAAATTCATAATGCTCAGCTTTAAGTATTTCACTTGTGTGACTTAGGTCGAAGTTTAGGTTTCATCCATAATCTGCAGTGTCTGAAATGGAGTCTGAGCTCTCTGAGGCTATGCTAGGACTGCAGGTCTGTCCTCCTCCTCAGTCAGGCAGTTCCAGTGACCGCTGCTAAAGCCCACCATAGCTCCTATTTATCAGGGAAAGCATCCCCTGATTATCTTCCCGTGGTAAAAGGTGCTGGGTTGTTCCAGTGGTGGTGTTGTTCCAGTCTCCCTGTGAGAGGACATGGCTGGAGGTCTCCGTTTTGCCCCTCTGAGTCAACCCTAATCTCACTTTGCACCCTTAATTTGGGCACATCAGTGAATAAACTGGGGCTGGATCCAGAAATGCATCATCACAAAGGCCGATTTTGCTGATGGGTGGGGAGGCAATAGCAGGTATTTGGCACCTCGTTATCAGCACCTGACACAGTGCCACACTTGGTGGCAAGTGTTAGGACATGGCAGAGGCTGTGGGACTGTGCCTGCCCCTCTCAGTCCTGCTATAACCAACCTGCCAACTTTGTATTAATGAAGTCACAAATTGAAGTGGCTTGTGCTGTTGGGATGGGTTTTCTACAAGGTATCAGACCTCTGCTGCAGGCATGCTTTTGCCTGAGAGGGGCAGAGTGTTTCTAACAAGCACTGAAAAGAGTCAATAGTGACCCTTACTGAGCTCTATAACTTAGAAATGAGCTCTTTTGGTACTCCAGCTACAACCTCTCATGCTAAACTCTTTTCTTAGGAGGAAGAGTGGGGAGAATTTGGCTGTAATTGTACCAAACAACTAATTTAAGAAAGAGCAATGAATATGGATCTAGGTTAGCTTATTGCATTTGCAGGTGCCCCTGTGGCATGGAGGAATGATGAATCTGACTCCATGTTCTCAGAAGGCTAATTTATTTCTTTATAATACTACATTATATTATAGAATACTATACTAAACTATATTAAAGAATACAGAAAGGATACTTACAGAATGCTAAAATGATAATAATGAAAACTCGTGACTCTCACCAGAGTCCCGACACCGCTTGGCACTGATTGGCCAATGAGAGAAAACAACTCACAGCAGAACCCAATGAAACAATCACCTGTGGGTAAACAACCTCCAAACACATTCCAAAGAAGCAAAACAGAGGAGAAGCAAATGAGATAAGAATTGTTTTCCTTTTCTCTAAGGCTTCTCAGCTTCCCAGGAGAAAATTCCTGGGCGAAGGGATTTTTCCAAAGAATGTGAATGGCACGTTAGCTTTCAGTTAGGGAAGGTGACACCAAAAACTAATTTTTTTTAATGAAAAATCTGAAAAAAAATTGATCATAAAATTTTGAAGTTCCTATTTCATATGAGGAGCTGAATGACAGAAAAGCAGTGGGGCTCTCTGTTGCTGAAGGGAGTTGGTGGGATGTCTCTAAATATTAAGGCATCACTGGATCTTGGAATAGAAATTTTCAAGAGTGATTTGACATTTCACATAATTTTGTTCACCATTTTAAAAAAAAGAGAGAGAGAGAGGTGCATATACCGATGGCATACTATTGGTAGATCAGGTAAGAAAGCAGCATATAAGTACATTACTGGTTTTCTTTATTTAGTGAAAAGCTGCCTGACCCTGCACTTATGTAGTGTCTCAGCATTCATTATTTGTTTCTACAAATATTTTTCATCTGCCTTCAAGGAAGTTTAGGTGGCTGAGGAATTACTTTGAGCTGCTTCTCCTGTGTGATGGAGCCAGGCCCTTGGCAAGGACCAGGTGCTGTTGGTGCTGGCAGCTCTGTCATGTCTTGGCTCTGCTGTGACCAAGCTGGACCAAGCTGTGATTGGGAAAGGGAAGATTAGCCAGTTTTCCTCCTTTGAGGAAGCAAATCCACCTCCTGCCATATTCAAGGCACTATACTTACTTATCTTAAGAAACAAGATTTCATTTACTGTTTTACATTTCACATTTCATTTACTGTTTTTCTCCCAGGTTTATATGCCTAGTGAAAGTGTCTAAGTGAGCTCTAACTACCACTGCTTGCTGTGGTACTATTCACTACAGACACCACAGATAAGAGCTTTTCCTTATCTGCATTTGTCCACATGCAGACTGCATGAATTGCAGAGGTAAGAGGGTTTTTTCAGACCTGCCTGGATGAAAGTTAAAGGGCAGCTCTCCAGAGCATCCAACAGCCAACTGCTAAGCACAGCTGTGCCAAAAAAGCAAGCTCAAACTAAACAGCTGAGCCTCCACTGTATATATACTGAAAATATTTCCCAAGATTTTCAGAAAAGTTAGAATGAAGTCCCCATGTTGAATAAATATTTCCTTACTTTTACTAATTAAGAATACTTTAAACCTTTAAACCTGAAAGACTGCTAAAGGAAATGGAATTTGAGGAATACATACACCCTGTGCTCCTATATTAAACTACAACTCATTTAATCAAAGTAAATTCAGAAACATTGTAATTCAGAAACATGTTATCCATCTTTTCAATTCATCCTGCACAACACCATTGATTGTAAAAAAAAACCCAACATAAATTTAAAAACAAAAAATTAAGAAATCAATCAGCAGTTTGTCAGTGAATTCTAGGCTTGCAAAACCACCCTGCTATGAAATGGCCAGAGAGTTTAGAGATACTCTGTGCAGCTGGCAGATGGCCACGAGCTCAACCTGAGGTGGCTGTCATGCTTGCAAAAAATTATCTTTATTCTGACTGCACTTACTGGTACTGTTATTTCTTTTTGCCATCAAGAAAAACCAAAAGCCTGCATGGAAAAGTGCTCAGCAGCACATCCCAGTGTTGTGGGATGACTTGGCTGCAGCACCAGATTTCCAGGAATTAGAATTCACCCTGTGGAAGCAGCAAACACCAAGGATTCGACAAACCTTGGACTTGTTGAATAAGCATACATGTCAAAGACAAAGGATTACAATCAAAGAGATAGGAAAGCCTAGAAAATAAAAATATTGGCAGAACCCAACACTTAGGATTATGGTACAAAAGTCATGAACTGGTGTGGCAAGTCCCCTGTCCTGTGCTCAGCCAGGGTGTGACACAAGCTCATACAAGGATTTCTGCAGGTAGCCAAACAGCAATTTAAGTAAGCAAGAACAAGGCTGGGGAGCTCTGTGTAAATATTTGCCACTGGCTGATCTCTTATACTTTGAAGATGCATTTCTAGAAAGGAAAAAAACCCTGAAAATTGTTTTCCTCATTGTGTATTCAAAAAAGCTGAGAAGAGCCATTATATTAGTCTTTCTCAAACCTCAGAGAAACTTTTCCAAATGTCTATAGAGGCAAATATTAAATAAATGGCTTGCTGAAATAATGGAACAGTTGTTGGACTTTATAACACATGCATATTTTTAAAAGAAAGAAAGAAAATACTGGGAGAGGGAGTAATTATTTTTTGTTAATTGTTTTGAAGTCCATAACTAGAAACACATTGTTACCAGCTTATACTCACATCAATTGTATATCAGAGAAAAATAAAGTTTTGTTTGTGTAACATTGTTAGATAAAACAGTAACTATATAAATTTAAGAAAGCACATCACTTATGCCAAGTTAGTGTCAATTAGCATTATGGATGACAGTTTAAGGAGGATTATATGATGTATTGCAGGTTTGAAACAACTAAAAATAGAAAAGCTATACAAGCCATAAAAATTGCACAATGTGCAACTTTCAGTTCCAGGAAGATTGTGTTTGCAATCCTTGACTACAAATGGAGTTGCTTTCTGACTGTTGGGATAGATCTTCTGGGGCCATAATTAATACAGACAGTCCTGAGCTTTCCAAATGACTCAGACATTTAAAAATATGATATTGGCCTTAAAGCAGTGAAGTTTTTATAAAATAATTTAGTGTTTGCCTTACAGTTTCTGAGCTGGGTTTACAGTTCCAATGTTCTAGCACCTTGAGGAACTTTAAAACTGGAAATAAAGAATGCTGTATAACCAATGTGATACAAGCAATGGGGCTTTTAAAAGACAGAAAAAATCCAAGATGAATATTGTAATGTATGCAATATGGTCACAGGATTCCGTGGTGCCTGCTGCAGAGTTTCTCGTTATGCTAAGTCCTTAACTCAGGATGCATATTTTAACTCATTATGCTAAAAAGTTTCAGAGAAGATAATGTGCATTGAGGATGTCCTTGGGAATTGTCAACAGTCCCCAAGAGCTTTAACAGCTCTGCAATTCAGATGAGCCTTTGAAAAAGTCTTGGTTTTTGTGTTCACATGTTCTCGGTTTGAAATAAGTCATTTTGGTTACCTCCTGGAGCTGACATCTGCAGAAAGCTCAGGTATTGCTTTCCAGCCATGCTATTGCAACAGCATGTCCTGAATGTTACTTATTTAGGAGCGTGGCTCCACCTGGGAGCTGTGTCAGCAGAGCAGCCCGTGCTGGTGTGCAGGAATACCTGTGTCGAGGGGTGCTCCCAGGGCAGGGGCTTCACTAGAATCTAGGTCCAGACTGGGGAGGAGGGAGTCGAGGGTGGAGGTGTCCCTGTGCCATCGCTCTGCTGCTCCCACCCGAGGCTGCCTGGGGTCCCTGCTGCTCCCTAGAGAAGAGATAAGGCTCAGGGGCCGCATGCCAGCACAAAGAGAGAAGCAGCACATTCTGCTTGTCTGCCAGCCAGCCAGCAGGCCAGCTTCCAGACTTAAAGTGGCTTGAAAATACTTATATTTTTATTTAGAGACTCCTGTTGGCTGTATCCTTGTGTTTCCAAAGCCATGACAGTGCGCAGTGGCCTGAAGAATCCAGGAGGATTTGCAGGTATGATACAGTACAGCAACTAGGTGGTGAAACCTCACAGTCCCTTTGCCTCCAAAGAGCCATCCCACAAGTCACAGCTTTCTGCTGTCGTTTGGCAATCGACACCAAGAAAGCCCTCCATCCCAAAAAAAGCAGCTGTAATGAGGGAAGGAAAAAGCTGGTAGGTGGTGTGCTGGGTTCCTCACAGAGTAGAGCAGTTCTGCAGAGTATGTGCAGGGCAATGCCACAATGTGGTGACAGGACAGCAGAGTATCAGTGACACTGCAGGCAGCCTGCAGAGTCCTGCCTGCTCAGTGGGAGCACGGGGCTCCCGTGCTGGCTGAGCTGCCAACCTGCAGCACAGCAAGACATGCAGAACAGTTCCTCTCACAGCCCACAAAACAAAAGAAGACTGGGGACGTGGTGACAACTCCAAATGCTGTGGAGGTATAGAGGATGTGCAGGGACCTAGGAGCTTTGCTCCAGGAGAGCTGGGGATGTTGCTGGGCATATGGGGATCAGAGCCATCAGACTGGACAAAGGCAGGGACTCATGCTGATAAAAGCTCACTTTTGATTGGGTTGCATTTGATTGGGTTGCATTTGATTGGGTTGATGCATTTGATTGGGTTGCGGGAGCACGGGGCTCCTGTGCTGGCTGAGCTGCCAACCTGCAGCACAGCAAGACATGCAGAACAGTTCCTCTCACAGCCCACAAAACAAAAGAAGACTGGGGACGTGGTGACAACTCCAAATGCTGTGGAGGTATAGAGGATGTGCAGGGACCTAGGAGCTTTGCTCCAGGAGAGCTGGGGATGTTGCTGGGCATATGGGGATCAGAGCCATCAGACTGGACAAAGGCAGGGACTCATGCTGATAAAAACTCACTTATGCATTTGATTGGGTCGCCTAAACAAACAGAATCGTGGAGTCCCTGAATTCTGCCGTGACCCTCCTGACTGAGCAGCATGGTCATGGCATAAACAGAGTTCTGCAGGTCAAATACACTCCAGACACAGCTGGCATGGCAACACCAGAGCCAGTGGGTCTGAGCAATGCTGTCCAGGCAGGCCCGGTGGGAGGGCTCACAGAGATTCTGAGGGCTGTGAAACCATGAAGGTCTTTCCTGGGCAAGGAAATCATGGTGTTCTGGGAAGCTGCAATCTTTTTAAATAAAACAGTAGCAATTTTGTTCAACTCTACAAAATGACTGTTATTTAAATAATTTATATAGTTCTAATAACAGTATAGTCATACAAGGAACATTACCATTCAAGGAACAAAGCAGAACTACTGCACTAAGTCAGTAGAAGTCAGAGCAGTGTATGACCCATTTGCCTATTATTTTTTAACAAACTGTATGTGAATTCTTGCAAAATAGTAAGCATCAACTTGGAATTTGTATCTTTTTTCCTTGCTCTGAGTGCAAAGAACAAGACCTATTAGATTATGGGCAATATAGGGAGAGATAGAGTAATGAAATCTTAACCAGCTGTAATTGGTGCATACATATTAAGGAAAACTTAGCTTTAAGTTATGTTACTGATAAGTATTTTCATTTTCTAGAAAATTTGCTTGGAGAACTTCAATCTTGAGCAGCAGCTACTTCTTGGAAAAGATTGAGCAATTACCTATTTATTTATTTATGAATAGCAGAAAACATTTCCTACATGTGCAAGAATTCAGGTTATCACACTGCTATAACCACAAGCCCTGAATCACATCTCTCATGACAATCCACAAGAAGCAGAATAGAGATAACTTGTATGAGGCACATGGGATTTACAGCAATTAATTCTTTGGCCTGTGAAAGGTTTGTCCTTCAAAAAAAATTCAGTGAGAGTTTTTTTCATTAATTTGAATGGAGGAAGGATCAAGACCACTGTCTTTAAAAGTATCTAGACTTAAAAAAGAAAATCAGTCATTTTTTTGTAATGAAGAGCTGAATTTGCAATGCAATTCACACAATGTAAGAAACAAAGAAGAGTTTGTTGTCAACAAGCACATATTAGTTATTAAGATACAAAAAAGGTGGACCAAGGCTTAGAGAGTCAAATTATAACCTCATTTGCTTTTACTCTTCTGAGTTTAAAGATGTTACTCTGGATTTTCATCAGCCTAAATGAGATTGAAGTCTGATGTTCTGTAAGCCAACAAAAGTGGCATTATTCATGATTTGCAGAAACCTTGTTCACAGAAGACATTGTTTAAAAATAGGCCCTTAAGAATACTTTCCTTCCTTTATGTACTGTTTTAAAGTCATTTTACAAGTGTAGTAATGACACCTATATCTTCCCAAGAAGAAACATCCTGGAACACAGATAGAACTTAAGTAATTTTCATCCTCTGATACTTGACCAAACAACAGGATAAGGTAGACATGGTATACTCTTTGGAAAACTTTTTCTTCATTAATCATTAAAATATCTCAAGATAATATTTATGCCTATACATGTCTTCTTCATTTTAATTAAGTGATGACACAGTAAATATAGTGAGCAAGAGGCAAGGCGAATATCACTGTAGTAGTTAAAAGATTTCCCATTATACAACATTGTGTTGTATTAAAAAGCCTATGAGATTTTGCTGCTGAGGTGAATACAGTTGATACTTCACTCACAGACATCACACAGGTGCATCAAAATGCTCCTTAACCCCTGGTAGGTTAATGAAAGACAAAGCTTTGGTTGCAGACTTTCCCTCACGAGCAACTTAAACGTAGCAGGGCTACGATAACAAGGCTGCCTTTTCCATCCCGGCTGTTGAGAGTTTTATCATTTGCACTAAACAGAATAATTTTTGTTTGTTACTCTCAGCAGAGTAGTAAGAAGCTATTGGTTCTCTGTAGATTAGTTTTGGAGAAAGCCTCTCATCTTTCCTCGTTCACATACTCATGCTCCCTCTCCCCCAGTGAAGCATGGATCAGGAAACCAAATGCAGCAGAAAGCCGAAGTTTTCTTTGGCAGGTTTGCCAAGAAGCCCTAATGAAAGGGGTCAGTGAAAGTCCCCATATTCCCATTGACCTACAAGCCACCATTCCCAGGACTTTCAAAGGAAAAGCCAGGGAAAGCAAAGGGCTCTCAAAGCTGCTTTTCACTCCAAGCTCCAAGCCCCAGCAATAACAGTATAGTCATACAAGGAACATTACCATTCAAGGAACAAAGCAGAATTACTGCACTAAGTCAGCAGAAGTCAGAGCAGTGTATGACCCATTTACCTATTATTTCTTAACAAACTGTATGTGAATTCTTGCAAAATAGTAAGCATCAACTTGGAATTTGTATCTTTTTTCCTTGCTCTGAGTGCAAAGAACAAGACCTATTAGATTATGGGCAATATAGGGAGAGATAGAGTAATGAAATCTTAACCAGCTGTAATTGGTGCATACATATTAAGGAAAACTTAGCTTTAAGTTATGTTACTGATAAGTATTTTCATTTTCTAGAAAATTTGCTTGGAGAACTTCAATCTTGAGCAGCAGCTCAAGCTCCAAGCCCCAGCAGCTACACTGGGGATCGTACAACAAAGGGCAAGTCCTGGGCAGACAGTCTGGTGGGCTACTGAGAAGGTCTGGCTGTGCACATTTAGTCAGAATGGACACAAAATGAAGCTGATTTTGTCAAGCACCCTACACCCCACCAGCACCACTGGACAAGGCTTTGGGATGCAGGAAGGGGCACCTCCTTCCCACGACCCACAGGCCACCACGGGGGCAGGAGGCTCTGAGTGCAAAGAACAAGACCTATTAGATTATGGGCAATATAGGGAGAGATAGAGTAATGAAATCTTAACCAGCTGTAATTGGTGCATACATATTAAGGAAAACTTAGCTTTAAGTTATGTTACTGATAAGTATTTTCATTTTCTAGAAAATTTGCTTGGAGAACTTCAATCTTGAGCAGCAGCTACTTCTTGGAAAAGATTGAGCAATTACCTTTGGGGGGTAGGAGGTGTGTGACGGCTTCCACTATCAAATCAACCCTTTGACTATCACTGTTATCATCATAAGTGTTTGTTACAATTACAGTTCTATTTAATTTATTATCAGTGCCCCAAGTACCCAGGACCCCACATCAGCCCCCCTGGGGCCACCAGCCCCAGTCCCAGGATTGCCACACAACCCCACACAGCCCAACCCTGCCCTGCCCATCCATGTAGGCCACCATGCTGGGCCCACAGCCCATCCTGGGCTCCTCCTGTTTCCAGGAATATGCCTGATGCCAAGGCCTGGGGCTGTCCTCAGCTGTCTCCCTCAGGTCTCTGTTCCCCAGGGGATTGCCATCCCCAGTCCTCAGAAAGCAGCCACTCCTGCAGTGCCCTGACATGTATTTCTTTAAATGTCTACTTAACTGCTTGTATTCACAGTTGGGATTCTCCTTGCTCTTGTTCAAGTATTTTCAAAGTTTTTCAATTTCATTGATCTTCATGTGTGCATGTAGTAGTTAAATTTGTGCTTCCCTTTTCCTACAGTGCTTCCTTTTCCCTCATTTTTGCCTTCTGCAACAGGGCAGAAAAATGGAAATCAGCCTGTTTATTCCTGAGAAAAGCACTGTAGAAACAAATGCTCCCCCAGTATCTCTCCTTTACACTTACAGAGACATCCTGCTCTGCAGTGATCCTGATGCCAAGCATTGGGATGTCAGGCTCAGAATGACTGGGGAAAAGTTTCTCTCTGAAGCTCCCCTTGAAACTTGATTAAACAGTAAGGATTACAAGTAAAACAGCCAAAAAAAGATTGCTGTCACAGTCTTAATAGCTGGCAGACAAGAGTGTCATGGAGTTCTCCAAGAAGCTGTGGCACAAGAGA